AATGGTAGCTCTTTTATCAGATTCTCTCCTAATAAAGGGGTCAGGGTGTGCTCTGTGGTCAGGGGGTAGGTTGGGTTATAAGATTTGTTTAGTTTCTCTCAGGAAAAAAACTAACAAACAAAACAATTTCTGAGCACAAGAAATCCTAGCCTTCTGCATAGAATTTTTACTCTTCTACGATTGCAGAAGATCTAGAAAATCCATGGATTCAAAACCAAAAACCCAAACAAACCTACATTTGATCCCCTCACATAATTAGAATGAACAGAGATAAATGAATAGCTGAATGAATGATTCATATGATTATAATTATTGTAATTCATCAACTAAAAGAGGATATGCCCAGCTCTTAGTCTCGATCAAGTTGGCAAGTGCTTCATTCCAAAAAGATCCCAATTCTGGAAGCCTGTGAAACTCAGAAGACTTCATTAAAGATGACTGATTGCATTAGCTCAGCACATAAGACACTTGCAATGTCATCCTGGGACACAAGCAGCCTGGAACCATAGGAGGTCTGGAGGTTAACAGCTAAACTAGGGCCCTAGCGGCAGAATGAAAGGAAAAGAATTCTTTGGGGAAATCAGCCTTATTTGGACCTGGTGTTCCCTCTGCAAATAGCTCTCAGCTGGCCTCAGACCTGTCATTTGACTCTTTCCGCTCTTGTTAAAGCGTTGGAACTAGGGGCCCCTGCCCATTAAATGTGCAACGTCTGTTATTCCAGGAAATCTCTCTAATTCAATGGCAAATTTTATTCTCTTGTATTTAAGTGGCCTGGATTGTGTACAGAGCCATAAGCACAAACTATGGCTACAGAGCCTACTTTCCAACAGCCCCTCACAGAGATCCCTCCACGCCTTGTCCCTCTGTGAGATGCTACCACCATCCGACTCTCTGCTCCTTGCCCCAGCTCTTGTCCACCACCAGCCTCAGAGTGCTGCTGTTACTGTGGTAACAGTGAGTAACATTCTGGCAATTGAGGGCTAGCCTGTGCACTTACTCATCATGACTCAGGTTATTTCTTTGGAAAAATAGTTTGAGTTTTAAGCCAACCATTTACAATTTGCACTCAAGTATTTATGTTGCCTTTGTATCGTCTCTTCTTGGAATCCCATGGAAATGAATGTTCATAGTTACCAAAGTGAACCAGTGAAAGAAGCTTAGGGCTACAACGTACTATAAACCTGAAAATCAGTATAGCAGTGTATCACTCAGTAAAATAGGTAAACCACAGATCTGGGATGGATCATATGGACTTGACTTTCCTCAAGTCATGATGGAACTACAAGGATCAAATGCGATGGTGAGAAAATGCCTTAGAAGTGGTGGGGTGATGCAGACATTCAGGGTTGTTATGTGTTGTGTGCATTTGTAAGAGCCAAGACTGTACTGGGGGACTTCCTTGGTTCAAATCTTGGCTTTGAGTCATTTATTCTGTTTGAGCTATTAACCACTCATTCTATTTGAACTCTTCTGGCTGTGTAAACTTGCACAGTTACCTAACCGCTATGTGTGATATTATCCTCCTGGGGACGATAATAGTAACCACAGGAAATGATGGTTGTAAGGATTAAAACGTTGAAGTATGTAAAGTGCTTGGCCATACTAAGTGCAGGATACGTGTCGGCTTTCATCAGCATCAGCCGCAGCCGCAGCCGCAGCCGCAGCCGCAGCATCTGTGAGAGGCAACCTGGCCTAATGGAAAGATAATGGCCTGGAAAGACAAAGGGCTGGGAATCCGAGTTCTGGGTGGAATGGACGTTTCTCATTGTTGTAATTATATGCAGCTGCTTTATTGGTCACTCAAGAGAAAACCTGGTAGCTATTTTAGATATTTGTTTGCTTCATCTTCGACATCTCTAGATAAAACTGTGAAGTAAATTAAGGGTTTTCTTTGTACTTACTTCCCCCGCCCCCCTCCAAGTGCAGCTCCCAGATGGACGAGGCTCCCAGCCTGAGCATCCCTAGATTGATGCTGGTAAGGATTCGCCCAGGCTTGCCTTCTCCCCGGGAACTGTCCTCCTGCATTAACTCTGTAGACTGAACACAGGCCTGTGTTTGTACCTCTCCAAACCCACTAAGGGAGCCAGCCACTCAGGAATAAAATGAAAGCGTCGATGGCTGGGGATAAGCAAAATCTGGGAAGAAGTATTTACACATCTAATCTCATTTCAGCTACCATTCAGCAGATGACAGAAGATTTGCTATACAACAAAGAGGGGGAACCAGAGATGCGCTAATCCAGGGAACACAAGGCATCACAAGACCCAAAGCCTCAGTGAAATCAGTAAGACTCTCAGAAGTCATGTAAGGCAGGCTCCTGTGTCCATCCCACCTGCTTCTCTGCAGGGCCATTGCAGAACTCTAGGGATCCATCATTCTGTAGACTACAGTGTTAATGGTGCTCCCCGGGGCATCTGGGGAAACCGAGTAGCTCAAGAGGAAAAGCCAGGTGCTCCCCACCATCTCATGGTGAGCCCACCAGGCAACAAATCCTGTGCACACACAGAACTGCTGATCAGCAATTTGATGAACACACCACCCAAGATCACCAGATACTTGATGAAAGCCTGTAATACAAAGGCCTAAGAACAAAACAAAAGAGAAAAGGGGGTTCAAAGGAAACAGGGAGTGCAGGATGATTTCCGAACAAATGAGATGAATGATATCCTTAGAAAGGTAAGATAATATGTCCATGACACATGTAGAGCGTCCTCAAAAAGAAACAAAATTCAGAGAACATGAAAGGATTTTTGGAAATCGGGAATACAATGTAGAATCATCCATAAAATGGAATATCATTCAGCTACAAAAAAGAATGAAACACTAACTGATGCTACAACCTGAATGATCCTTGAAAACATTCAGCACAGCAGAAGCAGCCAGACATGAACACACACTGTAAGATTCCTAAAGAGTACGGGATTTCTTTTAGGGTGATGGAAATGTTCTGAAATCAGCTGGGCACGGTGGCACACACCTCTTATCCCAGCCACTTAGCAGTCTGGGGCAGAAGGATCACAAGTTTGAGGTCAGCCTGGGCAACTCAGCGAGACCCTGTCTTGAAACAAAAATAAAACTTTAATGAAAGGCTAGTGTTGTAGCTCAGTGGTAGAGGGCTTGCTGGTCTAGTATGTGCCAGGTTCAATCCCCAGTAGTGCAAAACAAAAAATGAAGAAGAAGGGTATATTCTATAGGCAAAGAGAGATCTCAAATACAGAATACAAAATAGTTTTCCTGGAACTAGATGACTGACTTTCCAGATTTTAAAGGACCCACTGAACACCTAGAACAAAGAATGGGCAAGACCCACAACAAGCTAGAACATGGGAAAATTTAAGAACACCATATAATAGGTCATTGTATGTGTTTCTTATTCTTGCTGCTGTGAGATTTGTAGCTACTGTATTAAGTGAATGTCTGCGCCCCCCACCCCCAAAAAAAGAATACCATAGAGGTATTTTGGGGTTTGGTTTTATTTTTAAAAATATTATTATTATTATTATTATTATTATTATTTGTACTGGGAATTGAACCCAGGGGTGCTTAACCATGGACCTACACCCCCAGCCCTTTTTTATTTTGAGACAGGTCTCACTGAGTTGCTTAGGGCCTCACTAAGTAGCTGAGGCTGGCTTTGAACTTGTGAACCTCCTGCCTCAGCTTCCTAAGTCACTAGAATTACAGGCTTGCGCCACTATGCCTAACTTTGTTTTTAAATCCAAAGAGTGTTCATAGAGAACAATCAGGTCACATACAAGCAAGCATAATCAGGATGTATTTGTCTCAATAGCAACACTGGAAGCTATCAGCCACAAGAGGGAAATCTGTTTTCATCCTGGAATCCTACATCTAGCCAAGCCGTCAACCAGGTGCATGGGAAGATTAAAGACCAAAACCATTTCCAGGCAAGCAGGGGCATCACATAAATATCACCTTCCACATCCCCTTTGTAAGGGAAAATGGTGGAGGTAGTGCTCCACCAAAATGAGGGTTCAGGTGGAAAAAAAGGGAAATTGTGGATTTAGAAAAATGGAGACTCCAAAACTGTGTGAGGCAGAAGGGCAACACAGGTTGGCAGCACAGGAAACTTTTAGAACAAGAACTCTGTAGCCAACTAGAGATGGTAAACCAGAGTGTGTTCAACCTCAGAGAGGCTTGGTACATTTGGGACTGTTGTCCTAGTGTCCGTGGTTTAGCATTTGTCCTGAGACTGTCACTTGTTAAGGAGTGTTATTAATAGTTGTTGCAAGTAAGCCTGGACAGGGTGGGGAGGCCTCCATTCAGCTTCTGCCACGATCAAGTACAGCAGCGTGCGAGACACGTGCAGTGAGCCCTCTTGCTCTGACACGTCACTATGTCTGAATGCTGATGGGGGATGATTAATTTCTTTTTCCCTTCGATTTTTTCCAGCTCCTTGTTCCATGTTAAATTCACTAATAAAATGGCACGCACTTAGACACGAGTGGTTCAGGACAGCCAACTCCTGGTTTTAGGAGACAGCGGGAGAAAAACCCTGTTTCTCCAGGCGCTTCAGCATCATGCTGTGGCCACTGCTGAGCCCGCACACGGAACCAGCCCAGGAGGTCAGTGGGAAACTGTGAAGTTTAATTTTAGAGGGCCTCATTTTGTTTTTAGAAACACTTTTTTTTTTTTTTTTTTAATTTGCAGTAAACTTTCATCAGCGAGAAGCTAAAACAAGTATGTAAATGCAGGTTGTGTGAAACATTAAGATCAGAATTTTCACGTTATGAAAGTTGTTGCTGAATGTGTAGGTTGGTCAAAATGTTTGTGGACATGTACCGTCTACACGGGAGCTGTCATCCTGTCACAGCCACGCAGAAAGCAGAGGGCACAGACCTGCTGATGGTATTTACTGTGAGCAGTTATTTTAAGTATTCTCAGAGACAACAATTTGATACGTGCAGCTGTCATTTACATCTCATTCAGGGAGTGCGACTTTCTGTTTACATCAAATAACTGTTCTCCTTCGTTGGTTTTGTTTTTTAATTTCTAGTTTTATTGCAGATTTGAAAAATGAGGCGTTAGCTGTTTCTGTTGGCTCCATTATCTGCAGCAGAACTTTGCAAATGGCTAATGATGGTGGTTTGATAATGTCATCAGATGTTCCAAAGAGAGAAGCAGTTCAGCCCAATTACGGCTCTTCATGCCTGTGCAACTTATGGAATCAATGTAAAGGGGTTTCTTCTTTCAGAAGTGAAAGGTCTGTGAATTATTGATGTTCTGTTATAAATTCAGTTTAAAAATTCATGAACAAAAATAGAATGATTTTTTTTTGCAGAAGTAATTTAAATACAATTTTTGGAGGCGCCCTGCTCTATGGAACAAATAACACACTCTTAATGCTGTTAAGAAACCAAATGGTCTTGGCAATGATTTCTTGGCTATGACACCACAGGCAACAAAAGTAAAAATAGACAAGTGGGACCACATCCAACAAGAAAGCTTCTGTAGGCAAAGGACACCAGCAAGAGAGGAAAAGGCAAACTTCAGAGGGGGAGAGAAACACTTGCCAGCCTTATATCTCACTGGGAGTTAACACCCAAAAGATGTCAAGAACTCCTACAAATTAATAGCAAAAATTAAATAAATAATAACTCAAGTCTAGTTCTCAAATAGACATTTCTCCAAAGAAGACATACAAATAAGTAACAGGTATATAAAAAGGTGCTTGACGTCATTAATAAGGGAAATGCAAATCAAAACCAGGAGATGTCATCTCATGCTTGGTAGGATGGCCATTCTCGGAAGGAAGGAAGAAAGGAAGGACAGAACTAGTGTTGGTGAGGATGTGGGAAAACTGGACCTTGTGCACTATTGGTGGGGATATAAAATGGTGCAGCTGCTCAGAAAACAGTATGGAGGTCTCTCTAAAAGTCAAAAATAGCATTCCAATATGATCTAGCAACTTCTGGGTATTTATCGGAAAAATTAAAAATAGGATCTCAAAGAGATATTTGCCTCCCGTGTTCATTGTGGCATTATTCGCAGTAGCTAAGGGGTGGAAACAACTTAAATGCCTGTTGATAGGCCAATGGCTAAAGAAAATGTGATATGTACATACAATGAAATATCATTCAGCCCTACAAAAAGTAGCTGCATATGCTACAACAGGATGACCACTGAAGCCATTACACTAAGTGAAATGTCACACACGGAAGGACAGCGTGGGCAGGATTCCATTCCTATGAGACATCTAAAGTCATCAGACTCGGAAGCAGGAAGTAGAATGAGGGGTGCCAGGGCCTGGGGATGGGAGAAATGAGGTTTTGCTGCTTGATGGGATAGAGTTTCAGTTAAGGAAGATGAGAAAGTTCTAGAGCTTTGCTGCATGACAGTGTGCATTTAGTTAGCAATACTGCACTATGCACTTAAAATTTATAATGATGGCAGATCTCGAGTTATGTGGTTTTTACCACAATTTTTTAAAAAAACCAAAATGGGGCAGAAATATATTTGGAATTGTTCCTGGCATACACATAATTTGTGATTGCATCCAATCAAGCTGTGATAGTCTTTAATTTAAATAGAAGTGACATAGTATACAAATATATATATACACACACATGCACAGAACTACAATAATACACACACACACACATATGCACACACAATTTTATGATAAAGCTGATACTGAATAAAAAAATGCTTTTGCCTAAAATTTTTTCTCTATGCCCTGGCCAAATCCTACCTGCAGCTGTCTCCACTCTGTGCTTTCTTTCTTATGGTCACATTTCTGTATTTTATTTGGCTTGTTAGCACAATTGATCTCCTCCCACCTCCTCTTGGACTTTTCTCCTTGGCTTTTAAGATAGTTGAGATTTTTGGTGTTGTGCTCCTCAGCCCCCTTTATTGGCTCCTTCTCCTTGGTTTGGCCTCTGATTTTAGGATGGCTTCTTTCTCTTCATCCACAGTTGCTCCCTAGGTAATATTAATCAGTTCTACATTTTAAATACCAAGTATAAGCTGATAGTTCCCCGATTCTTATCTCTATTCCTGAAATCTCTGAACTCCAGGTTGATGTATTCAGACATGTGTTTGACATCTAGACTATTTAATAAATATCACAATGCAACCTGTCCCCAAAGAAACTCAGTTTCATCTGACCAGAATCAATTTCATCCCAGTCTTTTAAAAGTGTCATCAGTCACCACCTTGTTCCCCTGCCCACCCCCGCCTGCCATCAGTCACCAAGTCCTGAATCTACCCATTTCTTCCCATATTCATTCCTACTGCCTGTCCCAGCCTCTGTCACCTCCTCCCTGGACTCCACAACCCTTCCTAACTGACCTCCCTACTCCTCACTCTTGCCTCGTCTACAAATTGCTCTCCTCAATTTGTAGACAAGGAGATATCTTCTAAAACCAAAATCTGATCATTTTGATCTTCTGTGCTCCAAAGTCTCCAGCAAGAGGATAACTCCCTGCTGTGGCCTGCTAAAGCCTCCACTGAGTTTCTCTGTGCTTGCATCTGCCTCCTGCCTCTGGTGCTCTTCTCATCCAGTTCCTAGAATACATTAAGAGCTTTCTGAGTTGGGGCACGATGGCATGGACCTGTAGTCCCAGCAGTCGGGAGGCTGAGGCAGGAGGATCACTTGAGCCCAGCCTAGGCAACATAGGGAGATTCTGTCCCAAAACAACAAAACGAACAAAAAAACCACAATGTTCTGTCTTTGAGCCAGGTATGACTGCACATCCCTGCAATCCCAGCTACTTAGGAAGCAGAAGGAGGAGGGTTGAGTTCCAGGCCAGCTTGGGTCACATAGTTAAACCCTGTTGCAAAACCAAAAAGCCACAACATTCTCACCTGAAGGACTTGTGCTTGATGTTCCATTTGTCAGGTGTGTTCTTCCCTCAGATTTACAAATAGCCAGCTCTGGCCTCCCAGAAAGTCATTCCCTAAGCAGCCTGTGCACTCCACTCTCTACCCTATTACTGTCTCCTTTCCTTTTGTGGTGCAGGGGATTGAACCCAAGACCTTGCACACGCCAGGCAAACACTTCCCCCCTGAATTACAGCCTAGACATGTTTTATTTTCTTAATTGCACATATCACTATTGGAAACCATTGCCACTTCATACATATTAGTTTACTCTCTTATTTTCTATTTCCCAATAGAATGTAAGCACCACAAAAGTAAGGCTGCCACATTTAGCAAGTAAAAAAAACACTCCACTAAATTTGAATTTTAGGTAAGCAAAGGATGATTTTTAGTATAAGCATATCTCATGCAATATTTGGGACATACTTTTACTCAAAATTTATTTTCAGCCAGGTGTTGTGGGGCACACCTGTAATCCCAGCTACTTAGGAGGCTGAGACGGAAGGATCACAAGTTTGAGACCAGCCTGGAAAACTTAGTGAGACCCTGTCTCAAAATAAAATATAAGAAGGACTGGAGATATAGCTCAATGGTAAAGTGTCCTGCAGTTCAATCTCCACTACCAAATATGTATTTTTTTATTAATTATCTGAGATTCAAATGTAACTGAGCATCCTATATTTTATCTGGGAACCCAGTGCAAGAATAGAAATCCTGGCTGCTTTATTTATACCCCTAGACTGATGATGAATGATGATGGATGTCTGACATCTGGCAGGCACTGTCCCCATCCTCACAAAGATGATTAGTGATTGATTGAAAGGAGGTAAATATATCAATTTGTATGATGTTCAATCTAAAAAATTAGTCTTGCTATCTAGACTGTAGCCCAGTGGTTCTCAAACTTGAGCCTGTAGCAGAATCACTCTAGGCTTGTTAAAACACATACTTCCCAGACTGAGAGTTCCTGATTCAACAGGTCTGAGGCAGTTTTGCAAATCTGCATTTCTAGTACATTCACAGATGGGCCTGAGGCTGCTGGTCCTGGGCCGCCTCTTAAGAACCACTGGTCTAGCCCAAGGGAGAAGTCTATGGTCTCTGGCTTACCTATTACGCTGATGACCTTGCCTCAAATTCAATAGACTTAAAAAGATACGGTAGTGAGTATTCCAGTCCATCAGAAGCAAAAATTGGGCCTGTTAAGACAGGATCACCTTTTCCCCATGACCAGCCTTACCTTTGTACAGCCAAGGCAGTGTTTTTAAAAGAACAGCCCTTGGGTGAGTGAGAACTCTCTGGGCGCAAAGAATGTGTGTGAGGACCAGATGCACACTTTAGAGGAAATTCATGTGGCAATCAGCACGTCTCAGGGCAGAAGCAGGAGTCCTGTGACAGTGTCTTAAAAGCTGGGCCAAACGGAATGAAGTCTCAGGAGGCCCCATTTATGTTTTCCAAGTTAATTAAATTTATTTAATCAGTTGTTTCAGAGCGAGTTTTCCCTTTAGGATTGGTAGCCCATGACAACAGACAGACTGAGGACAAAGAATCAGCTCTACCAGGAGGCTACATGAAATGTGTTTCAACACAATTTATGACGCTGAGATACTCCGGAGACCTCATCATTTCCATAAAATATGATTCCTCATCCCTAGCCCTGAGCACCTCTGGCCATATACCTTGGAGATAGATATATATATATATATATATTTTTTTTTTTTCCCCCGTCTCCTTTTCCCTTGGTCCCATGTGGCCAGATTAGTGTCTTGTAATAAATTTTTGTAAGTTTCCACTTTCATTTTATTTTATGAGTTAGGAGACAGAATAGAGAGGTTAACTCTGCTTCAGTTTTGGAGTAACCTTGCCCGGATGGCTGTTTCTTAGGCAATTTTAGCCACAGCTCTATTTTCCCAGTTTCTCAGGTTTCAACCTTGAAACCATCTTCCCACCCCCACTTCCATCCCCCACTGGTTTCCCACTCCTTTCTTTTCCCTTACTTCCCCGGTGTGGCTCTGGGTCGGGTCCTTGCACTCTTCCCTGGCTTCCATACTGTTCTTCCTTTTAGCCACTCAGTATCGACTGTGTGCTCACCACGGCCAGATTGTGCCAAGCGTGATAGGGACCATGATAATGTCTTTCCCTTTTGCTCCAAGCATTGGTTTGATCATCTCCTGACTATGAACCAGCCGTGCTGGGATGTGCCCTGGACATCCCCCCAGAGAGTATGGATGGGTCTTGCCCGAGTTTCTGTCCATCCTGGGATGCTCTCTGTTGAAGTCCTATCTCAACATGGTTGTTTCGGTTCCCCACAGCACCTTAGTTGAACTGTCTCCTCTCTCCGTCCTCCACTGCCCATGGTCGTCCTTTTTAATTCAAAAGGCATCACACTAGTCAGACTTTGTATTACTGTGGCGTGTCTCAGGTCCATTTCTTGGCCAGAGAATAAGCCCTGGGCTTCACGTGGTATTCATCTGTGGTAGTTCCTCCAGGAACTGTTCCTACAGGATCTGCTCCTAGTTACAGGATTAAAAAGGATCCAGTAGTATGGCCACTCAGTGTTTGAGGAAGAGGATACCTCTTGAGAGAGGTGTTGCTGGGCAATTGTGTCTTTGTGTGAACATCCTAGAGAGCACTTACACAAACACAGATGCTAGAGGACAATCACTCCACACAACCAGTAAACACAGATGTGTGGGGCTGCCGCTGTGGAACACAGTATACTGGTATATGGTAATAACCTTTCTTTTTTATTTTGTTGTTGTTGTTATTATTTGGTACTGGGGCTTGAACTCAGAGGTACTTAACCACTGAGCCACATTCCCAGACCCCATCCCTTTTTTTTTTTTTTTTATTTTTTTTTTTGAGGCCGGGCCTAACTAAGTCGCTTAAGGCCTTGCAAGTTACTGAGCCTGGCCTTGAACTTGTGATCCTCCTGCCTCAGTCTTCCAAATTGCTGGGGTTACAGGCATTAGCCACCATATCGGGTACCTTTATTTCTTTAATAAGTAGAAAGAGTAGGGAGGTGAAGGGAGGAGGTAAGGGGGTAAAAAATGATGGTGGAATGATCACTACCCTAAGTACATGTATGAAAAAGACACAAATGATGTGAATATACTTTGTATACAAGCAGAGATATGAAAAATTGTGTTCTATATATGTAATATGAATCATAATGCATTCTGCTGTCATATATAACAATTTAGAATAAAAAAATTAAAAAAAATAAGTAGGAGTATACTCCAAAATCATGATACAAAATATAGTCAGCACATGAACTAGTAATTAGTACCATTACCATGTATTGAGCACTGTCCATGACTGTGTGGGCAGTACTTTTATTCAACTGGTAGTGCAGCAGGCCTGTTCACATCAGTATCACCACCAGCAGGTGAGTCATGCATATGCTAGGGCATCACTGAGCCATAGGAATTCTTCAGCTCTATTTCAATTTCATGAGGCCACTGTCATATGCAGGGTCTGTTATCCACTGAGATGTTGTGTGATTGTACTGTGATTAAGTCCAACATAACAAAGGTCATTAGCATATGTGTCTGGAGCAAAAAAATATGACAGCACATCTTCATTACAGCAAAGATGTTGCTACCCAAACCCTAAACACTAACCATGTCCTCTACCAGCTTTAGCCTTCTCCTTTGGAGAATCTGGCATGATGAATGGTACTTAAGCCCTCTTACAGTCAACATGTTGCAAAAGTGACTTAGAACCAAAAAATTTTTGAGATTGACTATAGTCTTATTTTGACTCTCCTCAGTAGTTGCAATCTTGCATTTTATCTTTATTTTTACTTATTATTACAAGATCTCTAATAAATGGGCTCAGTGGTAGAACACCTACCTAGCATGCACAAGGCCCTGTTTACAGAAGCAAACAAATGTCTATTAAATAACATTAACAGGAATTTTGAAAGACCTCTACCCCCACCACTACTATTCATCTCAAGTCCAGCATCTGAATTCATTTATTCTAATTTTCTACATTTCCTCCCAGGCTGTGTTCCCAGACATCAGAGATTTTTACATATTCCTAATCATAGAGCAAGTACAATTTTGATTTCTGTTGTTTGCACTTAATATTATATTATCAACATTTTCCTATGTTATTATATAATTACAATGTTCAATTGCAGCATAAAATTCCACTGGATAATATGCTATAATTTATATAGCTATTCTACTAATACTGAATAATTCATGTGTCCCTTTTTTCACACTCATCCTTCCTTACAGATTCCACTGCAGTCAACATCTCTAAGTACAAAGCTTAACAAAAATATTCATTAGGGTCTGTTTCCAGGAGCAAGTGGGATTATTATGTCAAAGGGGATAAACACTTTAATAGCACTTGATACCACGGTTAAATTGCTGTCCTAAGGGGTATAACCAGTGTAAGAGGTAAATTTTATACTACATTGTTGTTAACAATGAAGGAAATGTTCCATCAGGCAGTGTGCTGTCGGACTTGACATTCATATCCACTATCTGCCAAAAAGCAGGCACCAGGCATGCAAGCCTATGGCGAGTGCTGTCTGTCCCTGAGCAACTTTGAAATACCGTGAGGGTTTTTTTCCTTGCAGATTGACTTTTCTGGACACACAGGCATGCACATAGATTTTCCTTGCTCCTGAGCCAGCTTTCTAAACACTAGAAAAGGAGGCACATGGAAGAAAGGGAGGGAGTGGACATGGAGAGTCCACTGAAACTCAAAACCATGGGAATTCCCAAGTTTTGCCAAGAAATCTCAGCATGTGACAGCATGTTAATCCTTTGTGCTGTGATTGTTCCATTTCTTAAGTGCTTTCTTCAAAGATCACATTGGGCTCCAAAAGCACATGGCTGTATGACAGACAGGGGAAAATCTAAAATTTAAAAAATCTCTGCAGTGGGGACAAAGGGCAGCAGCGTGCCCTCCCTGTCCTCCTCCCCATGTACTTTCTCACCCCATTCTCCATCCCACCCAGGGCTTAGAGGAGCAGCCAATGTACTCTGCAGTCTCCTCTGGAGATGTAAGTCTGGGTGAGACAAACATCCATTTCGTTATCCTTCTGGCTAGTTCCCAGGTAGGTGTGCAGTGAAATCAATATTATGCCTGAAGACTTTTAGAAACTGAAAATAGCACTAAGGTTCAAAATATAAATATTATTAGAGTTATTATCATTTCTAACATTTCCAAAACAGCAAGGAAAAGGGAAATACTCTTGCTAAAAATAGGAGATTGGAAAAATTGCTGATGTAGAGGTCATTTTAAGAATAAAGTTAAATCTCTAGCAGCTAGAGAAATGCAAATTAAAACTACACTGAAGGGGCTGAGGTTGTGGCTCAGCAGTAGAGCGCTCACCTCACACGTGGAGACCCTGGGTTCGATCCTCAGCACCACATACAAAAAATAAATAAATAATTAAACAAGTGAAAAAAAAAATTGAAAACAAAACACTACACTGAAGATTAAAACTGCACTGAGATTTCATCTCATTCCTGTCAGAATGGCAATTACCAAGAATATAAGTAACAATAAATGTTGGTGAGGTTGTGGAGGAAAAGGTACACTCATACATTGCTGGGGGGACTGAGAATTGGTGTAACCACTCTGGAAACAGTGAGGAGATTCCTCGGGAAACTTAGAATAGAACCACCATTTGACCCAGTTATCCCACTTCTCAGTATATACCCAAAAGACTTAAAATCAGCATGCTACAGTGATGCAGCCACATTAATTTTTATAGAAGCTCAATTTATAATAGTTAAACTATGGAACCAGCCTAGGTGTCCTTCAACAGATGAATGGATAAAGAAAAAGTAAAAAAAACAAAAACAAAAACAAATATATCTCTATCTCTATCTATCTATCTATCTATCTATCTATCATCAGCCAAACAGAGAAATGAAACTACAGCATTTGCTGGTAAATGGAACTAGAGAATATCACGCTAAGTGAAATAAGCCCATTCCCCCAAACGAAAGGCTGAATGTTCTCTCTGTTATGTAGATGCTAACTCACAATAAGAAGGTGGGAGGTAGGTAAGAACAGAAGTACTTTGGATTAGACAAAGGGGAATGAAGGGAAGGAGAATGGGAATAGGAAAGCCAGTGGAATGAATCAGACATTACTTTCCTATGTTCATATATGAATACACAACCAGTGAAACTCCACATCAAGTACAACCTG